GATTACATCCCGCGACCAGCGGGTCAGCAGCCGAGTACCTTAGCCACTAGACCACCGCGGCGGGGCAAACGCATGAAGGGGAGACAGAAAGGTAGGTGGGTCGATGAGATCGAAAAGTTTGCGGGTGTAACGTGGCAACGAAAATTGATTGATTGATATGTGGGGTTTAACATCCCAAAACCACCTTATGATTATGAGAGACGCCGTAGTGGAGGGCTCCGGAAATTTTGACCACCTGGGGTTCTTTAACGTGCACTCAAATCTGAGTACACGGGCCTACAACATTTCCGCCTCCATCGGAAATGCCGCCGCCACAGGGATTCGATCCCGCGACCTGCGGGTCAGCAGCCGGGTACCTTAGGTACTAGACCAGTACGGCGGGGCGTGACAACGGAAAGCACAAGACCGGGTTGATTGGCGAATCATGGGAGAGGCCTTTGACCGGCAGTGGGCGTAGTCAGAGTGATGATAATGATGATGATGATGATGCAGATGATGATGCTTATAACATATCGCCACATTCGTGCGGCCATAAAGCAAAAAGGATTACTACACAACTTTGCATGAAGATAGAATGGCCTAAAAAAGATCTTGCTTGCGTGTGGTTCTAAAAGACAGACCTCGTATTTTTCTCCCATTTCGTGCATGAAGACGTCTTCTTTGATGTCACAACAACATTTACCCAGGTGTGACTGGCTTGGATAGTTCTTTAATTTCTTGGCGTGAATTCCACCAATGTCTCCATTGAAAATTGCCCCGTGACAACAGGAATTCTCTTTTCCTGCTGCAATGCTACGAAATGAGATCAGAAAAGAAGCATAACCTATGAAAAACTACTAGCGGCGAAGCTGTTCTTGGTCGGCTCGCTCATGTCCGGGATCCACTGTGACGCTTGTGAAGCTTATAAACGAAAGCTCGGGTAAATCTCACAGACATTGACTAAATCCCACTACTCACAACTAGTCTATTGAAATTTAAGGCAACAATAAAACCAACAAACAGACATGTTTCACAGAGATCTGTGCAGTGTGTCAAAAAACTATCATCCTCAACCGATACCTGCCACAGAAATTGTTTCCCTACGGACAACATCCACAAAAAGGAAAAATGCAACATATGGCGATCAGGTTACCATAGTGACGCCATCGTCCTGGGATACCCCCTGATTATTCAAGGTGGTAGCTGTACACCACGTCAAAGCTCAAATAAGACTTTTTAATAAATGACAGTATTAAAACATATCTGAAAGACTTGCAAAACAGAGATGCATTAGCCTGACAAAAAAATTGGTTCCAAATCTGCATGTTACACCGCAAATGTACTCGAAAGACGACAGTCTTGCGTCTGGAGAGAGTGAACAAAACGTTTATTTGATGTTCTGCGCAAGAAAATTGGTGAAGGGTATTGTGGAGGCGCTGCGTAAAAGTGCCTCGAGCGTGTAGCGGAGGCCAATGAGTGTATCGAGGCACGTTAGACACAAGCGCCATTTGGCAGTTATCTTCCAAAACGAAGGCGTGCAGCCTGCGGAGAAAGATGCGCATCAGTTTCGGAGGTGATAAGGTGTATAACGCGAAGTGACGTGCCACCACCGTGACGTCGTAGCAAAGCGTTGGAAACAACTTTTTGAGCATCGTGTTGCACTGTCAGCACAGCGAGCTAAAATGCTACATTCCTTAGAGTTACTTGTGTGTGCCTCTTCTAGTGTAAAGGCAGACATAAAAAACTTCGAAGTGCTGTTATCTTGCTTCAGATATGCGCAAAAATTGCTTTTTAATTGACAATCGCACAACTATGAACGCTACACCTTGACTAGTATTGGTGGGCGCTGCGAATGTGGTTGGCCGCTCGATGCCGTTTTAGGTATCGCTAGGGTGGACAAACAGACAAACGTACAGACAGACAGACAGACAGACAGCCAGACAGACAGACAGACAGTGAGACAGACAGACGACCAAAATTTTTCCATCGAAGGTCCCCTAGAAAGAATATAGTCTTTAATATCGTCTTTAAAAGAATGCCGCCAGCTGCAGTGCTTAAACGGTGTCCGCTAAGCGGAGCTCCTTAGGTGTTTCTTTTAGGGCGTTAATTCTAGCATTGATGGCGCATAACGTTAATTCTACTCCCCAGCAAACGGATGTAACTCAGGTTACTACTCTCACATTGTTCTCTAGAAATTGTCGAGAGGCAACCAACTAAAGGAGCTGGCAATAGGGGTGCCTTCCTTTTTTTTCTCAGCGAAAACCTGCACTCTTCGCATTATATTTGATTTCTTGATCTTTCTTGTAGGATTCAAATAAGATGTTTACGTGCACTTATTACTTATGCTTTGCATAACAGCTAATGTCTTGGTATTTCATGCCAGTTGCACACACTGTTTCATTTTAGGTGGCCAACGCGACTGCTTCAAGTGAACCGAAAGGAGAGAGGAAGCTGGTTGTGTTAAGCGAATTGATGCCAGTGAACACCCGTGTCAATGCCGTGTACCTGCGAGGTGCTGGAGAAGCATGCGAAACGCCGTTGGATATTCTAGAATCTTGTTGCCAGCTATATCCGACGAGCTATGGGAAGGTGCTGTGAAATTCGAACTCCGCAAGATGCTTCAAAAGGCTACCGAAGATCCATAAACTCAAGACTGTATTTCTCGCTTGATATCTTGTGTTCACACAGAAATGTCGTAAAGTCAGTGCACCTAACGCTTAATAAAACTGGCATGGTACCGCGTTCCTGTACCTAAGTGCAAGAATATTTCATGGCATATTCATTTATTTTGGCAATGACTGAAACATTATATTAGCTTTACACTTGAAGCTCTTGCAGAAATGACGGGGATATACATATTCAGAAGATCTATGTTCAAGTCAGGGCATGCATAAAATATAATACGAGACAATACGTATACCTTAAAAAACGATCGCACAAACGCTACATAATTGTGCACTAAGAAATACGTGTTAGAAGATACATATTCAAAAGAACAGGTCTGGCGCTGAAGCGCACATAAGAACCACTCAGTAGATATGTGGTTTACATGAATTGTATAGACGCTACAGAATGAAAAAGTAACACCAACAATGTCATGCCAGAACATTTAGCGTATAAAAAGTTGTATACAAAAATCCGACAAATCTTATTTTTGCTGCCTAAATTGCGCACTCCTGTAAATCATTGGTGTTAAACATCTAATACCTTACCAAAGCAATGTTTCTTGAAACACACCCACACCCACACACACACACACACACACACACACACACACACACATATATATATATATAATATATATATACATTGTGGGCATTTGTTACTTACATCGTCCTCATCCCTGCATGATCACGATCACCATCATCAGCTTGTCTCTTTGTCCTCATTGCCACCCTGGGTCATCATCATCGTCATCGTCTGTGTACTGGCTCTGCCCGTTCGTCTGCGAGGTCTTTCCTCAATTAAACGCTGTCAAACGCTGAATTCAAACTGTTGGGACATCTATCGTACACCGCCGACCCTACCGCGTGTCTCTAGCTGAAAGAATTATAGACGAAAACGTTGCGGACATGCTTAAACGGGAAATCATCCGTCCCTCATCTAGTCCTTGGTCGTCTCCTATTGTTTTGGTCCGCAAAAAGGATGGCTCTGTGCATTTTTGCGTGGACTACCAGGCGCTCAATAAGATCAAACGCAAGGACGTGTACCCTATGCCACGCATTGACGACGCCTTTGATCCCCTACAGGCGCGGAATTTTTTTCAAGCATCGACTTGCGTTCTGGGTACTGGCAGATCCCCATGCTGAAGACGATAAGGAGAAAACGGCGTTTGCAACCCCAGACGGGCTATATGAATTCAACGTGATGCCTTTCGGGCTCTGCAACGCACCCGCGACTTTTGAGCGCATGATAGATACCGTGCTGCGTGGCCTGAAATGGAAAAGTTGCCTTTGCTACCTGGACGACATTATTATCTTTTCGTCAACGTTTCCTGAGCACCTAGAATGACGGGATCAAGTTCTGACATGCCTTGCCGCGCCGGGCTTCAAATAAACACTGAGAAATGCTCTTTCGCTAGCAAATCTATCAAGTCTTAGGACATGTCGTTAGCAAAGATGGCATCCGGCCCGACCCTGACAATATTTCTGCAGTCCTTCACTTTCCGCGTCCCGAAACCCAAGGAGCTTCGCAGTTTCCTAGGCCTCGTCTCCTATTTTCGCCGGTTTATCCAGAACTTCGCTTATATTGCTGCTCCATTACACCAACTACTCGCTTCGAAGTCCCTTTCTCTGTAATTTCAAGAATGTCAAACGGCATTCGGCTGTTGAAGCGGGCACTCACGTCTGAACATCTGCTCTGCCACTTTGACGCCGCACCGACTATCCTTCATACCGACGCTAGTGGCCTTGGTATAGGAGCCGTTCTTCTACAGCGTGACAATCTTCCCTAGAGAAGTTGTTTGCATAGCCAGTCGCGTACTCACCCCTCTAAAAAGAACTACACTATAACTGAGCAAGAGTTTGGCTGTGGTTTGGTCGGTCCAGAAGTTCCGTCCCTATCTCTCCGCCGTCACTTCACAATCATTACCGACCACCATGCTTTATGCTGGCTTTCTACACTGAAGAACTTGTCCGGACGCTTGGGTCAGTGGATACTACGCTTGCAGGAGTACTACTTTGACATAACTTACAAGTCAGGAGAAAACATCAAGACGCCGATGCTTTATCTCGTTGCCCGCTTCCAACTACCCATATGAACGTTGGGAGAACTCAACCCCCACATCTACCAATTCATACGCTCGCATCAATAACGCAACCCCTTTCGGACGACGAGCACATTTGTTTCCCACCGCGGTCCGATTCATACTGCAGACATGATGG